TACCTTTTGACTTCAGCAAATATTTGCTGCTTCATTTTTCTTGTTGGATTTCGCCATTTGACTTGTGTTTTGTTTTTTGTTTTTTTGTTTTTTTTTTTGAGACAGAGTCTTGCTTTTGTTGCCCGGGCTAGAGTGAGTGCCGTGGCGTCCTGGCTCACAGCAACCTCAAACTCCTGGGCTCAAGCAATCCTTCTGTCTCAGCCTCCCGAGTAGCTGGGACTACAGGCATGCGCCACCATGTCCGGCTAATTTTTTCTATATATTTTTAGTTGTCTGATTAATTTCTTTCTATTTTTAGTAGAGACGGGGTCTCGCTCTTGCTCAGACTGGTTTCGAACTCCTGAGCTCAAACAATCCTCCCGCCTCGGCCTCCCAGAGTGCTAGGATTACAGGCGTGAGCCACCGCGCCCGGCCCATTTGACTTGTGTTTTTGCTTTGTCTCCATTTGTTCCTAATGCCTGGTAATTCTAGTTTTCTCTATTCTGTTTTTGATGGCTTTTTATTCATAAGTATTCTTAATGTTTTAATACTCCAGTCAAAAAATAAGCGTTTCCCCCCTTTATATTTCCTCCCTTCCCCTTTATGTTTTTCCACAAATATACTTATTTCCCCCTTATGACCAAAAAATTCTTTAAATTCACATCCAGAAATGGCCCACGGAAGGAGCTCGTTGGTATTTATTTGGGGCATGGTGGGGGGCACTGCTCCCTCTTCCACTTTTTGTTAGTTTATAGGTCATGCCACATCTGGAAAGAAGACATCTTTTATTTACTAGTTTAAAAACCTATACAAGCAGGCTGGGCGCGGTGGCTCACACCTGTAATCCTAGCACTCTGGGAGGCCGAGGCGGGCGGATCGTTTGAACTCAGGAGTTCGAGACCAGCCTGAACAAGAGCGAGACCCCCGTCTCTACTAAGAACAATAGAAAGAAATTATCTGGACAACTAAAAATATATAGAAAAAATTAGCCAGGCATGGTGGCACATGCCTGTAGTCCCAGCTACTCTGGAGGCTGAGGCAATAGGATCGCTTGAGCCCAGGAGTTTGAGGTTGCTGTGAGCTAGGCTGACGCCACGGCACTCACTCTAGCCAGGGCAACAGAGTGAGACTCTGTCTTAAAAAAAAAAAAAAACCTATACAAGCAGATGCAGTGTTTTAAAGGGTTACCTATATTCCAATGCAAAGTTAAAAATGACTAATTTTGGTAAATCTGTACACTTTTATCAATAGTTTTCCAAAAGAACTGCAGAAGTCTGTGGAAAAAATCTGGAATAATCACAACTTCAAATGTGTAGTATATCTAGTAGATACCTTTTAAAAATATAGCCTATCTTTTCCCAAACTGGATATGGATAAAACCTATCTCTTTCCAATCTGTGAAGGATATTATGATTGTGTCATATAAAATAAATGTAGAAGCCTCTGTGGAATAAACGATCTTCTAAACAGAAAATCTTAATATAAGGCCACAAAACTGGACTTTTATTTTATTTCTGTGACTGGTAATATCCTCTTGGTTTTTGTTCATATATTACATTAATATGTTGTTAAAGATTTGATTAGATCGATCTTGATTATGATTGAATTACTAAAAAATGAAGCATCTTTCATCTGAACCATTTATTTCCAATAAATTATTTTGCTAAATGAGAGCCAGTTTATCAGTTCTTCTGCTAAGGGAAATGAGCCAGTGGCCATCTCAGTTGTATTTATCATTGCATTTTATGGTAACATTTAAAATGTGTTCTTAACAGTTCATGTGCCAACATTTGTGACTTCCATAGTGGCGCAAGTCTTTGACTAAAATAAAAGTGGGGGTAGATGAGAAGTCTGAGCCACCAGTTACCATCACGAGTGTACCTAATTAAGAAGATGTTTGGCGTTCACCACTTTTTGATTTCTTAGGTGAGAGAGGATATTTTGAAGAACGGTTACCATGACAATCCCATTTAAAGAATTTAGAGGAGACAATGAATCTGTGGGGATCATCCATTTTGATTGATTGAACTGGTCTTTTAAATTCATTCAAAGAGCTGTTGTCTCTGGATTTTACTTTTCTACATAATTCACCCAGTTGATTGGTGATTTGGGGATCGTTTAAGCTTGGCTGTCAGTAGTGATAGGGTCAGCAGTGTCCTCGACCATAGTACTTTTGTTGAACCTGAAGGAGAGTGATTGTATGTGTTAAATGTCACTAAAAAGTAACTACTGGCTGCTTCTGGAATAATATAAATGGTTTGTCTATTTTCACTTATTAATTCTGTCAGGGTTGGATAAGACTAATATGATTTATTTTAAAGCCTGACTGACCCTAAGGTGTTTGGGTTTTATTTTGGGTTACTTTGCTGTCATCACATTTTATCCAGGGTGTTTGGCTGCCATTATGTTTTTATTCTTTGACTTGCACAATATTGTCAACACAATTTGTATTATGTCTGGTCAGCGCCACGGTTACACACTGCAGACGAAAAGGACACGCAAATATACCTACCACGGGTGTCTTCATCCTCACAACCCCAACCGATGTTAAGTGGGACATGCTGGTACAAACAATAACGTGAAACGGAGGTACAAGTGCAGTTCAAATGTCACTAAATTTTGTCCTTCGTGGACTAGTTCTTGATGGTGAAACCGTGAACTGTGGGGGGGAGATTACTCTAGCTGGGGCCTGAGTTGGACCCTGATGTGAGAGAGCTTTGCCTCCTTGGCCTTTGGGCCTGTCTCTCTTCTGCCCCCTGGAGGGTGTCAGGGAACATGAAATTCAAGGACCATCTGAAAGGACAGCCACGGTCCTGGTCTGGTTGGTAGAAGACAGTTTCCCTGCCACGTCTCCACCTGTAGCCCCTCCAAGCCAGAACATGAGGAGGCGGGGAGCAGACAGAGAGACGGCAGGGGAGGCACTGGGGGGTCGGGATCTCAGGAAGGCAGCTACTGTGGTTCTTGAAGTAGAGAACCAGATTGTGTCAAGTACGGCCCAGTAAGAATCATATCCATCTCCAGGAAAAATCAATTTCACAAGGGTGAGTAAGATGAAATAGGACAAGGCTAGAGTGTGACAGATTCAGGTTCAGATTTTCAGTTGGGTTGAATCTAAAGAGAAGTATATTTGGTGCCAAGTATTTGTGTTTGTGGTGGCATACGAAATCTTTATTCAAGTTTGATAACAGTTTGACTCTTTGCCTGCCCTAATAATAGTAATAATTATATATCTTTAACATTCAGTGAGTGCCTTTTGTGTGCAAGGCACTGCCAAGTGCCTTACATGCGCTTACATCTTCACCTCTGTGAGGCAGGTGGCCATTGTGAGGTTGGGATGGGCGGGGCAGCCAATATAAGGCGGAGCCAGTAGTTGAACCCAGGCAGTCTGGCTCTGGCACCTTGCTGCGAACAGCTGTGCCATGCTGCATTCCTGTTGCAGCTGAGAAAGGGCGTGGCATCTTCTAGAAACAGTGAGTTCCATATGAGTGGAGTGTGGGCGGTGGGAGATGAGACAGAATAAAGCCTTTTGTAGATATGTACCATGCTAAGTACTGGGAGATAGAAATGAAATGAGAGATTTTTGTCCCTGCCAGACACTTAAAGTCCAGTAGGACAAATAAGACCTAACATAACACACATAATCCACATTTATGTGGTAGAATATGAAAATATTGTCAGTACGTAAGTACAGGTGGGAAGAGGACTAGAAGGTGTTCCTTTGAATTAAGTCACTTTCAGACATTTGCTTTTAAACGTTAGCTCTTCGCCACTGGCACAAATTTGCCTTCCTCTGGGCTTTTGACCTGGCAGACAAGAACCCAGTTCCTGTAGTTAACAGATTTGTCCATTTTGAGTTCGGAGGTATTGTCTTCAACTGTGACAGTCGTCATTCAGGTCGCTAAACAGATGAACTCATTAGCCTGTTGAACCAACTGGACCAGCTATTTATTTTCCAGCATCTTAACAGTTTTAAAATCTATAACCACTGCCTGTTTGAGGATCAGCCTAGAAACGGTTGGTGGGGGTGGTGGTGGTGGTGACTACATGCCTGGTTATAATCCTTGGTTTATGTTTGCCCTGTTGCCATTGATACTTCTTGAGAGCCTCCTGGGTGCCAGGCACTGTATTGGGAGTGGGGACAGAGCAGTAAAAAAAGAGTCCCCCTCTCAGGGAGCTGTCTTTTCCTCTGATTTCATTTGCTCACGTACATTTTCACAGTTGATTTAAAAGCACGTTTTGGTGTGAGTTTCAGGATTTCACTTCCTTTCTCCTTTGCCCTAGCCAGGCCTTTCTGAATAAAGGCGAGGGTGGGGCGGGGCGGGGTGGGGCAGTGAGGAGGTGATGTGAACGGGCCTGTGGGGAGGGCAGCATGTCGTGGTGGGCTGTGTTTGTGTCAGGGATGGGAACAGCACAGGGCACACCTGTTTCCTAGTGCTGCAGAACCATCGCACTGGGACGGGCCTGCCCACTAGCCTGCATCCTAATCCTGTTGTGATTGGAGATAACTTCAGCGGTCATACGGCACCTCGTATCCATGGCAACCCCTCCAAATATTCCTCTGGTGACTTGTGTTCTACATTCTGGCTGGATCGGAGCCCTCCTGTGGCAAAATATTCTAAAGATGTTAAAAGAGAAAAAAAAGGCTCAACTAATAAATCTATTCTAAACGACTGAGTCATTTGTTTTGATTACCCGGGTGATTGCCAAATGTTAATTTAAAACTGAAATAGGCCATGAGCTCACTCCCCTAACAATGCTGAGTGTTTGAGCTAATACAGCTTGATAATGAGGGAGCCAGATCCACTGCCAGTGCTAATGTTATATGATAAACAGACATTTGGAGAAATATGCAGAACATCTTGGCAGTTTTCCTTTAACTCTAAGGGTTGTAAATACAAAGTAGAATGTGTTACCATGAGCCATTTCAAAGGAAGTTGACTTTTTTTTTTTTTTTTAGAATTTTGAACTTTTCTTCTAAAAAGGTAACTTTGCCTCTTGATTCTCATTTTTCCCTAACTTAGGCACGTTGGAAGTTGTTGTGAGCTGTATCCAGCCCTTGCCTAATACATCCTATTTTCCACACATCCAGCGTGAGGTAAGTCTTACTAATTGCCACAAATTCTTATGCTGATGTCCAACTTTCCTATTTGTGGTGTCAGGGATGGCATTGTACAAAGAGCTTTATTTGTACAGGAGGTTTCATAGGCTTCCTTTTAATTGACCCAACCAATATTACTGCTTACCCTAAATGTTAGCTCTCTGCGGAATGCCTTTTCAAGGGAAAATCTCATTTGCATCGAACTTGGGGGCATGAAAAGTGAATGTGCCAGGCACAACAGAACTGTTAGAAGGTCTGCTTGAAAATAAAGATCTGCTCATGTCGCAGCATGAACAGTAGGGAGCAGGAAAGCTGCATGGAGCAGATAGTGGGATGGGAGGGAGGAGTCTCCTGCTGACCACCAGGAGGAGGCTGAGCTGCCCTGATGAGCTGTCAGGAATCTTTCTGCCGTGAATGGAAGGAGCCAAGGACTAGGATTGCCACTGCAAAATCTGGTGATAGGAATGCCAGAGTATTTCTGTTGGGCTGTATTAACAAGAGCCAGGACATTTTTTTCTAACTTGTCCTCAAGTTTAGAGCAGCCTTGCTGCACTGGTGTCAGCAGCCAGTGCATTGAATAGGCATGCATTGAATAGGCACCCTGTGTCCTCTTCATTTAGCCACGGTAGCTAATTTATACTCTTTGATGATCCACGGTTCTTCATTTCCCTCTTTGAGAGAAGGGCTATTCACCTTTGAAAATAATGAAAGGAAGGAATCTAGAAGATGGCTTAGCCAGGCACAGTGCAGGTATGGTCCCTTCTTTTTGGTGCCCCAGGCTCTGTGCATTTACAGCAGGGGATGTAGCTGTTGCCAGTGCTGTGCCAATCAGGATTCCAGTGTCATCCGTCAAAAGGTCGCAGTGTTTCTGCCTTCACCTCCCTCCTGCCCACTCCTCCATGCAGTCACACTGTCAGCGTAGGTACTTAGGTTTCAGTTAGGGTAGTTACTCACTAGGTGGCAAAAGTCACCTTTGTTAAATCTACTCGCTGCAGAATTCTTCCTGGACTTTAATATATATCTATTCAAATGCCTAAATATATTAAACCTTAAAGAGTAAAAAGCATAGGACAAAGTTTGAGAAATGTTTGATCTGAATTTTATCCATTTCATCAGTTATGATGTGGTGGTAGTTGGAAGTTCTTCCAAGGGCCTGGGCCCTGAAACTGGCCTGATGATAAATGCTTCAGCAGCTTCCCTCTGCTGCCAGAGATGCAGTCTTCATCTTCGGGTCTCAGCCCTGCCATAGCTTTCATTCATAGCCTTTACCTAAAGGGATTGTTGTCAAACTTAAAGAAAAAGATAGAAACTTATCTTCAAAAAAAAAAAATCTTAGATCTAACCCCAGTAGAGAAAACCAAAGCAGAACTGCTTTAGCTCAAGTAGAAGGCTATGACTCTGTCCCGCTCCTCTGAGGAACCCTCGGGCAGTTGGAAAGCACGATGCTCTCTCAAAAGCAGTGATTTTAGCTCTGTGCCCTTATTTTTATTTTCCCATAGAAACAGATACTAGATTCTTTAAGGAGATATAAAGAAGGGTAAGACATCCTCCCATCAACTTGGAAATGCTGGCTGGGTGAAACCTGACAACTCACATGCATTGTCTGCCCTTAGTAATTCCACAGCAATCTGCAACTTTGACAAGCTTCATCAGTAGAAAATTTCAACAGAAACTAAGTGTATAAGGCTGTATTCTTAAAATGGAACGTTTTAATTGAAGTTTTTCAAATACATATTTGAAATAGTTTTATGATATCAGGCATACCCCGAGGACATTTTTACATTGACCAAAACTTGGTCTCCTTGGGTTTTCTTTTAGAGCAGTGAGTTTCTCAGGTGAATCAATTAAATAGAATCTGTTAAATTCTGTTTTGCCATGACAGAAATATATAGGGTTATGCAGTTGCATCTTGTGCTCTTTCTTCCTTTCTTTTCTTGATTCATTCATTCATTCAGCCCTATTATGTACCAGGCCAGGAATGTAATGTTGAGCAAAACAAAAAGAATAATACATTTTGGGTCTGATATTTCTCAAGTGTAGGGCATCCCTAGATTATTTTTCCTTTTGCAGATAAAGAAACTGTGAATTGCTTTTGCTTTTTTTTTTTTTATTACACTGCCCAATGTTAAGTAGACTGGTAAGGTTTCAGGGGCACAATTCTCCGCTCTGCTCTTTGAGCTTGTGATTTATGCCACCTCCATATAAGCATGTGCAAATAATAAAGTATTCGATAATTGCTGCGGATGCAGCTGTGCCTGGGACCCAGAGGCCCCAAAAGGAAAACAAATGTAAACTGTGCATTTCACACTCTATTTCTCAAAAGTTTGTTTGGAATGATTGAGCAGTTTAGGAAAATGGACTTTGCAGTTTTCACATGAGCTATTTTGGTTTTTTTTAAATGATAGTGTGTCCCATTTTAAGCATAAGAAAGCATTTATCATAGATAGACTTCATTATTAAAAAACTTAAAATTATTCCATTTGGCTGCCTTTTAGTTAATGGAATTATTTGGAGCACAAACTTGACTACAGCATAATTCTTAACGCATATATGAACTTGGCTAAGTCTGAGTACTCTGTATTTGTGCTGCAGTAGTGACAATATTGCTAATTAATCAAACATGTGTCTTACATCTAGGAAATATTTGTATCACTGACATATGGTCGTTTTCATTATTGATTTGGCAGTTTTTTAATACTCACAAAACACGAAATTTTAAAAGACAGTAGTCATAGTGATTTGATTTGTGCCATCTATATTGCTGTAACCTCTCTTCTTGGTGCCCTGGTAGTAAGCATGAAAATCAGCACAGATGGGTTACACAGGCTTACACAGTTTGGAAATCATCAGTTTAGAGCCAAGGTCTCAAACTGGTGGGCTGGATCTGGCACACAGAGGTATTCTTTTAAAATTTTAATTGCCAGTATTTAAAAATTGAGAGATTTCACATTTTTAAAAGTCCAGATTTTTCAGCTTCTGAAATATCAGAAGATCTGGCAATATTGAGTCTGCATTCCTGTTTGGCTACACTAGGCTGGAGCCAAATAACTGCTGTTTCTTTAGGTGGAGCAAGAACTTTGCCTTGGTCTCCAGCAGTCTCTGTAGTCTCCTCGACACTAAGGACGAGGGTCAGTCGCCATTATCTAAATGTTTCGCTCTTATAGACATGTGAGTTTTCAACCCCAGGTCTAGATAAAATTGAGGTTGCAAACTTAAGATGATCCTTTCTCTCAAAATACCAGCTTGGGTTGAGGGTAGACATTTCAGGGGAGAGGTACCTTCTGATGATGGTACCTAATTAAGAGAAGGAGCATCAACAAGTATGGGTGTTTTATCTTATTCTGGAGGCTTCCCGTGGTCCACTTTGGTGCTTCTCACACTTTAATGTGCAGATTCTAGAGTAGGGCCTGAGTGTCTGCATTTCCAGCAAGCACCAGATTATACTGCTGCTAATCCGAGAGCCTGCCTCTCTGAGTAGCAAGGAGACTTTACCCTAAAGCAGTCCTAAGAAAAAGCAGTCAGGCAGTGATGGTTCTAATATTTAGAATGTTGACATTTTCTTTTGCCTAAGAAAGATAAAGAGACCATAGTCAGACTGTTTTGTATTGAATCATCCCAGATAAACCTGGATTCACTTCAAGTTGCAGCAAGGTAGGTGACAAATCAATTATTTCTAATACAACATAGCACATATAAAAGATAAATCTAACTTTTTATTTAAAACTTTGTTTTAGATTAAGTGCTTCTAGTAAAAAAGCTAGATAGGTTAAAGCTCAAGAATCATGAAGTAGGGATTAGAGCTTTTAATGTTATAATCATAGGAGAATATATTTATGGGGCTCTTAGAGAATTTGTATATCAGACCACAGGAAATGGGATAATTATGAAATCCCTGGACATATGATAACTTTGTAAGCTATAAAATGATAGAAAAAGTCAGAAAGGAAGAGGTCAACGGATTCAAATATATACAATCCTACAGCGAAAGACTATAATTAAAATGAAAAGGAAAGCACACCAGGAAAAATTTGTGGCACATATGACAAAATAATTAATTTCTATATTATGCTTAGAAGTCATACAGATTGTAAGAAAGGCACGCACAGGCCTGGCATGTGGTAGATGCTTCATAACTGTTGACTGAATGAATTCTCCAGTAGATAGGTGGGTAAAAGACCATCATGTTATATCACAAAGTAAATAAATGCATGGAAAAACATTTAGCCTCACTGGTAAGCAAAGACAGGCATATTCAAACATCAACAAGGTACACTTTTCACCTGTTAAACTGACAAAACTACAAAAAGAAAACCTGATGCTAATATGCTTTCCTTGAAGCGGATATACACTTAAGTCATTGCCGGTAGCATTGTAAGTTGGTAGAAAGCCTTTGGGAACATTATTTGGCAATATATGGCAAAAGTCACAAAGATTGGTACCCTTTAATTCAGCAATCCTATTTTGGGAAATATGTTCTAAGAAACAAATTGTTGTAAGAAAAGAAGGAAAAAGCTTTATGGTTATAGGTATTCATCACAGTGTTATTTATAAGGACAAAAAAATTAGAATTTAAACGTCTAACAATAGAGAAATGGTTCATTTATTCAACAAATATTTTTGGTTAATTTAAGTTAAGATTATGATACATGTTTGCAGTGGAATTTCATGAATCTGTTAAAAATTATAATTTTCATTCTTGCATAAACAATATGAAAGAATTTATATAATATAGTCTTACTAAAAATGCAGGATACAAAATTGTATATATGCTGTGATTGTAACCATGCAAAGTGATATGTACATGTGGACAAGAACTAGAAGGTACGTGGACAAATGTAAGTATTCCTTTATTTGAGGCTTTATTCATGTTACGTTATTTCTACGTTTTGCCATACGTACATACTCGCTTAGAGGTTGAGAGTCTTCCACTTCTACCTACTTCAGTTATTAAATTTAAGAGGTACCATATCACAAGTAGGATGTTCCCATCTGTCACA